CGAGCGGTAGTCGCGACCGAGTGGCAGAGGGCGGTGTCGACGCGTATTCATTCGGTCAGCAGGGCTTTGCCGGTAACGGGCAACGCGCCCTTCTCAAGGGCAAAGGAACCGGGTTCGAGACAACCGCTAATAAGCTAACAGCCGCTCGTAATCTCTGCTGTTGCATGTGCGGCTCTCTATGTCTCGCAGAGTGCCATGCGTGCTTCCACTCGGTCTGCTCGGAGTACAGCGGGCAGCACCTCTGCCAATGGAATAGCAAGGGTCACGCGCTACCGGGCCAGGTTCTCGACAAGGACAAGGTCAGTACGATCGCTCATTCTTCTCCTTCTCCGTCTTGGAACCGTTCCTTCTTTTTGCTTCTTCGACGCGTGTCGAGCCTCTCTCGTCCCGTTGATAAATCGCGATCCACCGGCCGCGTTGCTCTTATCTCGCGGCGAAAGCGCTGCTAAAACGGTTAAGGGGCAACTTTTCCTTTTTTTTTTTAACGAGGATTTCTCTCGCGCGCGACGTATCGGGGGAACGAAACAGAGGGAACGGTTGTAATTGTTATTAATAGTTCCAGCAAGACAATAAGAGTACACGAGGTAACGTTCGTTGTTGATGCCACTCAAAAATTATTGTAGAAAATTCTTTCGTAGCAGAAACTCTCCTGTATAGTAAAATACAAGGCTCATAGCTCGAGAAAGTAAACTTTTCTGATTGATTCGCCGTATTTCGCAACGTAGTCCAGTTCCAATAGCGAATGCGATTATTTTGTTCTGAAAGCGGACGTACAGAGTTTAAATGTCTGAGATGATTTCTCTCTTTTTTAACAACCTTGACCATCTGTTCTGTGGAAGCATCAGCTACGAATAACCCAGACTACAGTGTTTATATTTACCGTGTACGAACGGAAGCGATAATTTGGCAGTTTTTAGCGAAACACCGGTAGTATTATCAATCTTTGCATTTGACTTTCTCTCGTTAACGACCGTTATTGTTTATCAGCATGAGTTTAGAGTTTACGATCGTGACGATGATTCCGTCTGGATTTCGATAGGCGCAAGGTCGAAACGATGACTTAATCGCTTGATGTTCCTTTTGTGGCGCTGTCGAGGTATCGTAAATCAATGACGATTAAAGTTAAACCAGTTCCACCGAAATTTTTCTGAATGATAGCAAAGTTTTTACTACCGTCTTTCATCGATTTACATAGAATAGAATCGATTCGTTAATTGTTTTTTATGAAACGAAATTTTGTTTCAGTTCACCCTGCAATTAGATTAGATTAGCGCGAAAATTTATCTTCGATTTTTTGCGGCTTACATCTTTGGCCACTGTTGGCACGGTTATTGTATTCTCGAATCTCTCGATCTCTGTATCTTGTATCTCTAGATGTTATTATTAAGACTCTTCGGCGCTTATCGTTCGTTTTCTTTCACTAATTATGGGATTATATAATATTTGATTGTGTAATATTTCGTATTAATATTCATGGTAATTGATATCATTGTTCCGTATGAGACACAGTTATTTTTACCGCGCGAGACAATGTGAAATTTCTACACGATCGTGTACAATTCTGACGCGTTTCCGTTAACGATCATTTCTTCCGTTAACGCTCGAGGTGACATAATTCTAATCGCATTATCGAGCTTACACAATCGACGGTATTCTGTTCTCCTTTCCCCCCGAGTTCGAACCAGCGCGATTCAACGCGAATAGAATTTCACGATGATTATCGAGGCTTTTTAAGAAAATTCTTTCGCTGCCTGGTTGTCTGTCGAAACGCGAATATTTGCAGATGAGACTCGAGTTTCTTCTCGAGTGGTCGCGATACGAAGCTCAGTCTTATCTAGCTCGTGTCGTCACGATCGTAGACTTAAGGTTACGAGAGAAGGTTAAGTTTTCTTTTTCCCTTGTTAGTTTTTACGCTTTCGATTTATCGTGTACCGTCTTGATATATTGCTCGTCCTGTCCATTTTCACTGCGGTAGTCACTGCGTTAACGTCTTTATAGTTGGAAGCTCTTCGCTCGTAAATTAACCAACATATGTCCAGTCAGTTTTCATTGCAAATAGATTTTCGGTCTAAATTTAGTTTGGAATTTGTTTTCATTCTCGTTTCCTGAATTTTATTTCTTTAGATATTATGTCTATAATATATTACGTTAATAAATATGTTCGAAAATTCTTTCGGTCGGATCGTAAATTTTTTTTTTCTCGAAGTTTGGATCGTGATCAATCATTTTCGTGCTATCGATCAGTAGTACGGTCGAATAGAGGAAGAGTAGAGCATTGTATGGTCAGTAGGTCCATTTTTCGATCGTTGTGTCTGACCACTGGATAGACGCGTCTACTTGTTCGCTGGCGAATCGGAGCTTCAAACACGAATCGTTTACGTTCAAACAACCATACTTGTTTTAACTAGCCTTGTATTTATATTCGTGTCAGACCGTTATAACGTTAGCAGATTTGTACCGTATAGCATTGCCACATCACACGTGCCGTAAATTCGAACAGACTACGAACACGTGTTGTTATAAGACAAAATACAAAAAGAAATTTCCCACTTAGCTGGCGCAATTCTTTTACGGCCGTGGAAGCGTTAATTACAGATTAAACATACTTAGTAATGTATAGTTCCGTGCGACAACGTGTTAAGTTTTGTCTGCCACGGTAGAATTAGCCATGTCTGGTACGACACGATAACATAGAACTTCGATTAAGACTTAATTTTGTAATCCGACGTTTTCCGTATCGAATTAATAGCGTGACTTTTGTAGCGTAGCAAATCTTTGTCTCGTTATCTGCGCACGTTTACCTACCGTCTTCGAATACTACTGCAATAATTCAGTAGTTTGACCTTAGTCTGTTAAGTATCAAGCATGAATCATCCGCGATCAACCTGACGATAGTCAACGAAAGCGTACCGGTAGATTTCCGAAACATTTACGTTCAGTTCAGCGGAATTAATTGACGTTCGAATTTCGCGCAGTGAGACTGGAATTTACAGGAAGCGTGGGAGAAGGGGGTCGATCACGCCAGTGTCTGAAATTATTCATTCTATTTATAAAAGCTCGTACTTCCCGCGCCGCGATTCGCGTGCGAATTTTTTAAATGGTAAACGCGTCATGGCGATTTATCGGCGCGTGGAATTCGCTACCGACGATTATGCCGGATTCGTTACATAATTTCTCTCGCGAATAAGGCAGATTAACGATATCAGTTAGCCTTTCGCCACGAACCTCGAGCGATTCCGTGCAAATTCCGCCCGCGACGATGCTACCTTTTTTTCCTTCGATCGCTGCGTACCTGAAGCTCGCTCGAGTTTTATTTCTGAGTCGTTCGCTCTTGCCGACAGCCCGTCAGCGAGTGGACATCATTGAACGTCGTCGAATGGATGGCTGCCCTAAACCTCTACCGCTATGCGGACGTTTTCAAATCGAAGGACATCAAGGGCAGCGATCTTCCCTATCTGGACAGGGATAAGCTCATGGTGAGTCAAGTAATCCATCATTATTTGCATCACACATTTTCTTCTTTTGCGTGCTAATATTATTATTAGGTTGCAGTTAACATTATTTTGTTTAACACTCTCCCACGCTTTCGAATACGCTATTAGGTTATCCACACTTTCGTAACTTTCGTATCTTTCATAATTTAAGATGTCTTTTTTCTACAGAGTTCATTCTTTGGTAGAGCAGATCCATGATTAAGCTTCGCATTGATAAGCCATCAATTGCGCGATACTTTCGTGTCATCGAATTGCATCGAGCTTTCCAAAGAAATTTCGATAAAAGCCAAGTTACGCGTCATGCGTTATTTAAGAATAAGTATTTTTAAAACACGAAGAAAAGAAGCTTCGTCCAATTACGAGCGAACACTTGTCCACGTACGATACGCGCAATCGCGGCGGAAAGCATCGGACAAGATTGTCCGCTTCTCCAAAAATCGATCGAGCGTTTCACGCGTTTCAACTTTCTTGTTATCGAAGAAGTTGAACGAAGCTTCGATATATCATCGGAGAGTTTGTTAAAATTCCACCGTTTATCGGGAACTCGGTAGCGAACAACTGTGGGACCATTAAAAGTCGATAAGGCTCTGGTCGTTTAGAGATCGGGAACGGATGGCAAGCAATATGGTAGTCGACCGCGAATTTTTCGTCTCGTTTTTCTCTTGGTTTCGATTCAGGGTACCGTGTCGGTTCACCGACCATGGTGGTGGGAGATCGAAAATTCTTTGGCTAGTACTCAAAGGCGATGACCTCGACTCGAGAGTATCTGGACGACGTTTTCCTTGGCCCGTTGACCCTGTAATTGCCCTGTGTAGCGTCTCTTGTACGCTATACTCGACTCTTTATCGACTCTCTTCTGTCTCTCTCTCTCTCTCACTTTTTCTTCCTCTACCATATATTCTACTCTTTTCTTTTTTTCTTTCTATCGTTCCTCCTTCACTGAAATTTTTCACCGTTTATCGGCCGTACTTGGCGAGCGTCTCCTTCGTATCTTTGCCAAAGAATTCTCCAAACGTTATCTTCGAGCGTGACTTCTGAATTTCCAAGCTGTTCGATCACGATTTTTCTAAAGTATCGTCGAAGATCGATGAAAATATTTGATATTTTTGAAAGAGGGCTCGAGTACGTTCGCGTCGCGAAATTACGCGAATTGTGCCGTAGAAATTTCTACGGCGACTAGATTTCTCGAAGTATAAAAGATATTTTTAAGCTTTCCAATTTTCCTTCGCTTTTTCCTGGATTTTACGATCAAACGTTAAGTCGTGTTCCTTGGCGCGTTCGCTGTAATAATATCTTCGGAAATTGTCGGATACTTTCTCGACAAATTTCAAGCGAATGTTAAATGTTTAAAAGACCGAGTAACTCGTCACTTATGTTCTCTAAAAATTCACCGAACATCGTCCGTTAATTGTCTAAACACTCATTTCCGCATACAGATAAGCATCGAGTTCTTCGAGCTCCTTTTTTTCTCTTTCGAAAGGAGTGTCGGTCGGATTTCGTTTTATTCCACGATGAAATTTCGCATTTCGCTTGGTTTTTTTTTTCTCGAAGAGATCGTGTTCTTAGAGGATCACATCGGTTGGCAAGGATCTTTCGCAAATTTAGTCACGACGCGTCCCGACACTCGTGTTCGGACGAAAAGAATAAAAATACTCGTCTGGCCAAGGCTCCTCCGAGCGTAAATCGCGTATTACCATGCTAATCGACTCGTAAATCGTCTCCAAGTGTCCTTTCGGCGCGAGAAGTCGTCCGGTTCCCGTTCGCCTCGTCCTCCGTCCGAGGATTCTCCTCGAAGGAAACCGCATCTGCTTGGTCCTTAGGTATCTTTGCTTAATCTGAAATCGATTTACGAATCCGTTCGTGCGATCCTGGCACACCTTTTCCGTCGATTATTGCTCCGATGGATAATTCCGAGCACGTTTCTTTCGCGATTTGTGTTCCTAAATGAATTTACCTGATCGGACTATACGATTCTATCGTAAACTCGTAGATGTAACTGTTATTAACGCTTTGAACCTCTCTTTGCACGATGCTTTGTTTTATAGGGACATTGTTTTTATAGGATAGATTCAGCTAAAATACGTAGTCCAGAAAATTTAGTTTGGAGGTATCGATAACAGGACCCGTCACGCGACACCTCTTTCTCGTCTGAGACGTTTCCTTTCCAGAGCACGAGACACGGTCCGATTATTGAAAACAAATTAAGGGCGTTACTATCTTTATCACGGCGTCGACGGGTCGGTCGAGCAAGCGTTTTCCGTTCCGGACGACGAAGCGTAACAATTTAACGACCATCTCGCGACGCAAGAAACGCGTGTCTTTCGCCGAAAAGAAAAGAAACGAAAAGAAAGAGAAGAAAGAAAGAAAACCTTCGGGATTGATGTCTTTGCGCGTCTAATTAACGCTCAACGCTGGCCGTCTCAGCGTTGATAAATTACACGTTAACCCCGTGCCGTCTTATCTCGCTCGCTGATTCAAGCAAAAATTCTACACTCTCGACGCTCGTTTCTTTTTTTTGCGCTCTCGAGCTATGAGCTGGCAAATTATGGTTCGTCCTCGCGGATCGAAGGCTTCTCCGTTTCCGCGACATTTCGTTGCCACGTTCGACGCGTGAGGAAAATAAAATACCTGCCAAATTTCGCGGCATTCCGCGCGATAACGACGCGTTACGGAATTGAATCGGACGAAACAACGATATCGAAACATTGGCGAAATATCGAAAAGACTAACCGTACCGTGTACACGCTAATAATAGCCAGATTTGGCCCAGTGCGCGACGTGGCGCCGAGAAACGCGCTGGTCGGCACATTTTAAAATAGCCACCACGATCTCACGCTCGAATACCATAACTTAGAAAAAATTCGTGCCAGCCTGACGGAAGTAGCAAAGTGACCTACTAATCGTTTCGAATCGCTTCAAATACGTGCGAATCTACGAAAGAAAGTCTTGGAAAATTACATCCTATACGAGGTTAAACATTTCCGAGCATTTTACATTTTTAACATATTCGAAATCTTAACGTTTCGGAAATTCTATATTTGATCATTTTCAACGAGACGAATATTAATGCATCGAGCAATCTAACCGTGTAAGCGACCTAACCCAGAGCTACACACGTGTACCTGACACCTGTTGACTCGGGGATCAACTGTCCCGGAAAAACGAGATATCAGTCGCGTGAGACGTTACTGAACGTATAAATTATATTCCTTCGTTCACTTTTTTCCGAGATCATACAGCATTGTTCTGAATGGAATCGTCGAGTTCCTGATTCGATTTCTAACTCTTTACCTTTACCATCTTTCGCTTTGCATCGCTTGGAATTGAAATTATTTATTTATTGAAAAAAGGCTTACAAAGGCTTAGAATTTCAACGCGTTAGGATTCAGAGCGCTGAGATTTAAAGTGCGCTGAGAATTGCAACGCATCGAATTGCAGTGCGTCCAACTTTAGCGCGCTGAAAATTGCAACGGGTCCGATTTCAGCGCGCTGAGAATTTCAACGCATCGAATTTCAGCGCGTTCGGTTTCAGCACGCCGAGAATTGCGACGCGTTGGGAATTGCAACGCATCGAATTGCAGCGTGGCCAACTTGAACGCGTTGTGAATTGCAACGCGTCGAATTGAACTGCATCGAAATTATCCCGCGCAGAATTGTTTTACTAGCAAGGAATTAAAAGCAAAAGATGGCATTCTTGTTCGCAGAACATGGGCATCAAGGATGAGTTCCACCAGAGGACCATTTTAGCCTGCATCGACGAGCTGTGTCACGCTGCACCGTCGCTTTCGTTGCCGCAGGTTGGCGCCTCGGCCACACCAACCACGTCCACTGTGGTCACCGACTCGATCTCTTCTGTCGCCGGTCCTTCGGCTTGCAATAATGCTCACACCCTCATGCCGCAGAGTTTCAGCGTGTTAGAGAAGTGCGACAAGTGCCATAAATACCTCAGGGGCCTCCTGCATCAAGGCTTTCTCTGTCTAGGTACGTTTTATCGACTCATCGATACCGGTTGATAATCGATCCCGATAACGTTTGTCAAATTTTTACAAACGTTTGATTTACTGCGAGTTAGAAAAAGAGTAGTCAAGATTATTCGTTTCCATGGAACCTTGCTATTAAATCTATAAGAGGAAATATATATGTATATAGAAACACAAAAGAGTTAAGGGGTTAATTTCACTCGTTCTTCCTCGATAGGTTTATCAAGGGGTTTTGTTTTTCTGCCCAATAGATTGCGGTCTGGTAGCTCACAGGACGTGTTCAGCGACGGGTTTACCCTCGAACTGCGTGCCAGCCGACTCGGAAAATCGTGTCCATAGATTTACTCCAGGTAAGCGTGACAAAATAACACACACTCGTCCACTTTCGTAACGCGTGACATTGATACAGCTTCAGTAGTCCGTAACACACCTATTTACTTCTTCGTTACGTTAATGGACGGGAACACGGAAACAATTTAAAAATTCAGATGTCTTTTAGTCGCGACTATCCCCGGATTGCATCAGAAACGTGTTCGGTGACGCTGGAACTGCTTGTTACCTGCTTTGCAATCGAGCGCCAGCGGACACTCTTATGAAGTTTGTAGCAAGGACACCACGATGCTTGCCGCATTACTTGTCGTTCTAATATCTGAATAACTAAATATTCATGGCGTCTTTCGATTGAAACATTGAAATATAGCCGATTTGAAGTGTTAACCGAGGGTGTTGTGGCTGGACTGACCTATTCAGAGGAAAGAGACGTTAAACGATATTCTTGTTTCGCGTCGGGCAATCATTGTAATCGGAAAATAAATTTAACACTATTGTCTCGAAACTTGTATCGCCGTTTCTTCTATATGGTATGTTAACAACCAAGATTCAATGTTATCTACTCGGATGTCGAACATAGATTTATTATATCTTGTTCCCTGTCATTTCATATAAATATTTATACTATTCATTGCAATTGCAAATGGTCTACTACGGTTTTCAAGCGACATAATTGAAAAAGGATAGATACATCACTTAACATCAATCTTCCTCTGTCTGAAGTCTATACCTTGATGAATTGAAATCGTCGGGGTCGATGAGGTGGGAAGATATATAATCTTATTTCATCGTTTGTTCGCTCGTTTCTTTTTCGTTGAGCAAGGATCATCGTCACTTTCGACGCCCACGGGCTGTAACACGCGCCGCCAGTATGCGCTCGCACGTAAGGTAGACGCTTTTCTCAGAAATTCCGTGGCAACTCTTGGAACCGTCATCCAACGCGTAGACGATTATAACCGATAAAAGCAAACCGAGATGATTCCGCGAAGCACCTTCCGAAATAATGAAATATTTTTAGTAAGTCGTTAAATGCCAGTTAAAACAAACGCGTTAACAGTCTCGCTACCACCGGTGAGAATGACCATGTCCTAAATTCCTGTATCCTGAAACGTCGATATTTCTCCGCCACGATATCCCTAAATTTCTATTCTCTCGGAGCGCTATATTCTTAAACCCCTTTATATCTCTGAATTCCTATATCGCTAAACACCCGTATTCCTGAAGATCTACACCGCTATATCCCTCGAGAATTTGAAAAGCTTATTGGTGACCCTGATGGCAATCAACGCGTCAAATTTATATCGGTTGACCCATGTGGGTTCATGTGGGTTTTTAATTCGATTTTTTTCGAGTCTGCCAAGAAGAGATACACTCTCACAGAAGAAGCAAGACGTAGCTGTCGTGGTCGTAAAAATAAATTTCTTTCTCCTACCTCTCCTTGGTACCAGTCTCTCCTACACTCCCACCATCATCTTCTCCTTCTTTTCAACTACCTCCTCCGCCTCATCCTTCACCTTCTTTCCTCTCTTTCCCTCTCCTCCACGCGTGGATATCGGTTGGTCTCGAGAAGGCTCGTAATGCATGCGTACACGCCTTTGATTGTACAAGTGGCACACGATGTATCGACGATGAGGTTCGAATCGCTTTTAAACTACGATCACCAGTTTTTCTACCGAAGTCGGACTTTAGAGCTATTCAGAAAAGTAGAGAAGGTAGAAACCACACGTATCAATGGTAGATGAGTAATCGAGTAGCTTTGCTAGTAGAGATTCTACGAGGAACGATAGGAACGGTCTTCGGAGGGAAACTTCTGATTCTAATTGGCTCGAATTCAGGCGCGTCAAGTTCGGCTTTCCCATTTTATCGAATGATAGTCCCACATCCCAGAAGCTATAATGTAAGATCCGTGCCGATTGCCGGAATCCTTCGTACTTATTTTCTTTTTAAATATATACCGTTTCATGCGAGCAGTATCTGGTGGACGATGTATAATTAGACTAATATACGATACATGTAGAAGAATGTCGCTACTTTAACAATGATTTCTTGTTGGAGTAATAGCAACTCGTATTTGAATAAGTGAATTCGAGCATAAAATTTCATTGTCCCGTACAAACAAAGTGATTCAATCCGACATTCAGTAAAATTTCATTTGTCCGAATGGAGTCCTATTGTGCAGATAACACAGAAAGGAACGGTCCTTCGCAATGACGTCGATGTTCGTCGAAGTCCTCTGGTCCATGGAATGTCGTCGACAATGCGAGGTTACGTAATTGCGTAGAGAAATACACGCATCCTTTGCTTTCGACCCGCTTATTTTCGTCCGATCCGTGCTGGAACAAAAAAGAATGGTAGCCGGGTACTTCCCTGGGTCACACTCGTTCGGACGAGGATGAAAGAGGGAACGAGAGAACGTTCTTTACGATTTTACGTTTCTCGTCGAGCGTCTGGAATGCGTCTGTAAGATGTCAGGAATTTTTTTCTTCCCAGCATGTCCATAAAAACGGACGAATCTGTTGCAGATGCCCGTTCTGTGTCGTTCTACCGAGAGACCCGGTTTTCTGAGACGGCGTTCATTCCGCCGCGAGAGTGTTTCTCCGTCGAACGAACAGCTAATTTACACATCTAATTAATTTTCGTCTCGCGATTATTTCCCCGCTCCTCTGGGTCAACGACATCAGACGCTTCTTCTCGTTCACGTACACCTGTTTGCACATACACATGTATTTTTTTTCCATTCGTTCTTCTACTATTCGACCCGTTTACTTTCGTTCATGTCTCGGATCATGAGCCACATGGTCGTTTTCGTTTTCACAGCTGTTCGTTCCGTGTCATCGGTCGAGCATCAACACACGTGCGAATAAACGACAGTTTTTAACCCCTTCGTTACCAAAGATGATCGTAGTCGTTCCATGCAGTGTTTACATTTTCAAATAGTAGATGTGCAATGGAAATTTTCATATGTCGATTGTATTTGATTGCAGTATTCGGTCTTGGTTTGTGCTTGCAATTCGATACTTCCACCCGTACCGCACCTATCCTGGTGGAACGGTGCACCCGTGCCTTGGAGGAGAAGGCGTTTGCAGATGGCACGCTGGATCTTTATAAAGTCTATCACAGTAGTCCTCCTAACGAGCAAACGTTGGAGCTGCGGCAAAAGTTGAACGACGGTAAAAAACGCGTCAAATTCTAACGCATTTAACTTAATTTTAAATTCACTACATTAACGAACAATTATCGTTACATTTTCAGATGTTTGTAAAGCAGATTTGAATTCCTACACCCCGCAGTGCGTCGCGAGCGTGCTGAAGAAGTTTCTACGAGAATTGCCAGATCCAGTGATCCCTGTTCAGTTCTACGATAGGTTCATCGAGGCATCCAGTGAGCGTCTCGAATCAAAAATAGCCATGTTTTATTTTAATCAAGGATTATACATTCGAGATATTCTTTTCTTGTTTTAGATACAAAGAATGACGAACAATGCGCTCAACGTTTAGCACAGCTGGTCCTTGAGCTTCCAGAACATCATCGTACGACATTGTTTCACTTGATGGCTCATTTCTGTCGAATATGTCAGCTGCAACACGCGAGAGGCTACACGGAACCGCCTACCATCCTTATACAGGTCCTCTGTCATATTTTCGTCAGACCACCTTGGGAACGGATCGTGTGAGTTTGTCAAAAAAATCTGTTCATTTCATTTGTATGTATTATTCCGTGTATGTGTTTACATTAGTCGGTAGTAAAGTTAAACGAAGTTGAGTTTTTGCTCGTATAACCGGTATGAGTCTGTTCACGAGGGCAAACGTTAACGACCAACGTTGGTTTAACCGTCTTCGATCGAAGTTCTTCCGAACTCGGTATAATATGTGACATACGGATATCGAATTGAAAGGCATTGGATTTATAATGCTTCGAATTCGGTCGCGTTATTTTAGCACGTGTTGTGATATACGTTAAATCTTTTGACAGCGATATAGTTTAGCTGTTATTTAAAAATTTTATCGAAGAGGATTAATCATAAATTAATGAGTATAACAGGTAGAATATAATCGATGCATTTTGAACACGATCCTTTTTCTCTGCTACAAGTGTACCGGCTAATACGGTTTTTATATCGTGTGACAATAAGCGAGTCAATGATCATAATGCATTCGCGTGTAAGGTCACGCGTGTGTCGGCAAGAGATGAGCAACGATCGATGATAAAAATATGTCTAACAAATGCGTTTCCATAGTTTCGTTCACATTGACCGATGCGCGGTTGTTGTATCATCGCTTTTCGCTTGAAACGAGTTGAACCGTAAGAGATAAATCGTAATCGGTTGCCTTCTTTTGCTAAAAATTCATTGCCTCGGCAACAAATTCTTTATTAATCCTTGTGTAATCGATCGAGTAATCGAGTATTCATCGCACGTTCAATATTAAAAAGTATCTGCATATGTATATTTTTATTTTAGAAACGTTCAGATGTTTTACGGTATTTTAATTAGTATGTAAAAACTTATTAAATGGTACCCGGTTGTCAATACATGGGTTAATAAATGCTAATATCGTGCAGATAGTCGTCAAAGTTCAACGATTGTGTTTTATATTTCTATTTTATACGAATAATTTGATTTTTTTTCTAGACAAATTGTTCACAACATCGAGGCACACATACGCATAATAGAGATACTTTTGTTGCACGGCGATTGGAACGAAAGATTGCCGCAATTCGCCAGCCCTCCGCAGCTACCACCGCGAAAAGTTTCCAGGCCACAGTTTCCGGTTTTAGATCCGTTCCCTGTTCTTGACGAGGATAGTCCCATGGCTCCATCAACGTCCACCGCGGAAAGCAAAGATCAGCAGCAACAGCAACAGCAACAACAGCAGCAGCAGCCACAACAGCAACAGCAGCAACCTCATAGGTAATTACCAATATTAGGCAAATTGAAATTTTGTGAAATTTGAATTATTTTATATTTGTTTCGATAGACCCCGTACATTGCAAGAGGCGGAATGGTATTGGGGAGACATCACGAGAGACGAGGTGAACGAGAAAATGATCGATTCACCCGATGGCACTTTTTTGGTTCGTGACGCTTCATCGAAGGGAGGGGAATACACTCTGACGTTGCGTAAAGGTGGGACCAACAAGCTTATCAAGATTTGTCAACGGAACGGGAAATATGGCTTCTCGGAGCCGTATAACTTTCATTCGGTTATCGAGCTGGTGGATCACTACAGGAATTGCTCTTTGGCGCAGTATAATTCCACGCTGGATATTAAACTGTTGTACCCCGTCTCTCGGTTTCAACAGGTAACTTGGCTGATTATTTCAATATTCTCTCCTCTTCTTGTCGGAATTTCTGATGATCAGTATATATTATGAGAAGCTACAGGATTTTTATAACAAATTTATTTTGCCTTTATCAGGACGATGAAATTGCAAGTACAACCAATATGGCAAACGTCGCACAAAAATACGTCGAACTCGATAAAGAGATAACCGACGCGTTGAAGGAGTACAGAGGCTATTCGGAAATGTACAACAGAACCGCCTTCGAGGTGCAACTGAAACGACAAGCGTTGGAAGCATTCTCGGAGGCTATTAAGATGTTCGAGGATCAGACGAAATTACAAGAGAAGTTCCAGAAAGAAGCTCAACCGCACGAAATATCAACGTAAGTACCAATTATTTTTAATTTAAAGCGGTATATTTAATTTACATAAACATCTCGTTTATAGATTAACCGAAAACGCAGAACTGTTGAAACGAAGACTGAAATCCTTAGAAGATAGCAGGGAGCAATTGGATCGTTGTTTAAAGGAACAGATTTCTTACAACAGAACTCTCGAAAGAGAAATGCAGAAATTGAAACCGGAACTCTTACAGCTCGTACGCCAAAGGGATAAGCATTTAATGTATGTCTTATTATTTTATTTTATTAACGATATATTTTTGGCTCGAATACAAATTGAGAATTACAAACTGCATTACAGATGGTTGAAGAAAAATGGCATGAATCAAAACAAAATCAACCAGCTTGTATTAAACCATTCGAATCCTGTACTGGGCGATTTGTACGGCGATCTGCAAGAAGTGGATCTTGAGGTTCATTCGGATGAAAAGACGTGGCTTTATTTGGAATGTTCTCGTTCGGACGCTGATCGTTTGTTAGCAGAGAGGCCAGACGGTACCTTCCTTGTTCGCACGTCGAGAACGGGACAATACGCTCTTTCAATCATGTATGTACGATTTTATTAGCTGCGTATAAAAGTAATGGTTGTTGACTAAAAACAGTTTAATGGGTTTATTTGCATTTCTTATTAGTTGCGATACAATTCGTCGCGTTTCAATTCCCTAATCTTTGCATATAAGTAGCATTCCTACGACGTTAGTCATAATTTAATACTCGTGTATAATGTCTGCGCATCTACGCTGCACAAAGACGATGGAATTTGCAATAAGTGAATACTGACCTTTATTACGCCCGTTTATACCAGTATCCTCGATGTTAAATATGCAACTTAACCATTACCTTTGTCTACGCCTATTCTTTTGAAAAACGTATCGAGGACATGCAATAATGCAGTTTACTTATTTCTGCTACAGGTGCAATGGTACGGTGAATCATTGCATAATATACGGTACAGAACGTGGCTTCGGTTTCGCCGAACCGTACAACATTCATAAGAGTTTGAAAGACTTGGTGCTACACTATGCTCAGAATTCTTTGGAAGAACACAATGAGAGTCTGAACACGACTCTAGCTTATCCGGCGTTCGCCTCGCCTGCTGCGCTGGCACAATTACAGGCTCAACAGATGCAGTTGCAGATGCAGATGCACACGCAGAACCAACTACAACTGACGCGTCCTCTCGAGAATCAATTTATGCCGCACACGTAATACTTGTGTTACGATTAACCTAGCTGACCGATTTACACGAATGTTGTTACGTACGCGTGTGCACGCACGCGAGTTTTCCAGGATAAAAACGGTCTCGTTCGTTTTTTCCCCGATCGGTACGATGGTGTCTTTGTCTCAAGAAACGCGCGACAATTGATCGTTCCATTTTTTTTTTTTGTTATTCTAAGAGAGAAACGCCGTTTCCTCGATCGAAATATGGTGGTATCGATAATACATCGGATAAACGTTGATAAGTGGTAGCGGTAGTATTACTCAAAAACAGTGTAGTTTATAAGACGAATATATAGCGTGCGTACAGTTCCGTGGCGCAATAACAAAAAAAGAAAAACAAAAACGATTACGTTTTACTCGACAGGACCACAGTGACACGTTGCGTCGTAGCTTTCACGATTAGTTTCTCAGGGTCTTGCAGGCCTTCTTCGGATAAGGTCGTCACGACGATCGTCTCGAATATTCGCTTTGACACGCATGCGTAAACAAGAAATATCGGTACTTTTGGGTCGCTGTCAGTTTATAATCGTTGAGGTGCGCCGCATTTTAGAACGCGTTTAATTCCATCGAACACGTCAGAATCACAGAGGCATATATCTAGTCTTCAACAGGCAATTCGACGGATGAATGAAGCAAAAATACATAATGAGAGCTAAACGAAAAAAAGTAAGTCTGATACCGCTCAAACTACTCACCGTTTCGATTGGTAATCAGGGTAGTTACGCTAATTAACACTGTTAACGCAAATCGTATCGTCTGTTCCTTCGTAAAGAAAAAAGTAACACGGATCGAATCACCATAGTAGACCGCTGTACTTCTGACTTCTTCGATTTTTCTGTTTTGCGAAGATTTTTCGAACGCGACCCACGGACATATGGTTTTACGTCGCTAATGCGATCGACGAAGTAAGAAATCTTCGACGGTGATATTAGAGTATAATTAGATGCATCCGTGGCACGATGCTGACGAGAGACGTTTTTCTAGCGATTATACAATAAAATTCACCAGCAAAAGATAGCAATCGTCGCCGCGAGACGACGAAGAGGAATAAGGAACGACTCTGCTTTCGCTCGATTTTCGATTGAAAGTGTGCCCGCCGCAATTCGACGTTCATCACAACGAAATTTTACACGGATGCGCGCGGGTGTTTCTGTTTTTTTATATGTTAGATTTCAAGTGCTGTGTGCCAGACCTCTGTGCAGGTTGCGTGCGTTTCGCACGCTTGTACGCGAAGATAATTTCACGTGAAGTTAAAAAAAAAACGTATTATCTGTGATTTCGGATTGCCGAGAAAGGAGGTATATTATATATATATATACAGATGTATCGTGTCTATTATTTTCCAGTCGCTTTTTTATTATTCACTTATCTTCTTCTTATACTTTCCTGTAGAATTTAAATTACGATGTACGCGCGTGATCGTCGAATGATAAACAGGCAGGTTCGCGTCGACGATAGCATTGTCCCGCGACCGATACGTGCAAATGCCATTCGTGATTTTATTATTCGTATATTTTTCTTATTGTTCGCACGAGAATGGTACTTTTTATAACGCCGCGTTCGAAATTGTTGTAAGTTCGTCGAGGCTCCTCCTATCTCTTCGATTCGTCGAGTGTTCTACCTCGAGATGAAAATTTCTTGCGTGTAATCAGTATTCGTTTTGTATTGAATATTGAGGAAATGTACGTGTATCGTTGGTCAATAAGATTCGTTAACACGTTGTTCAACGAAGTGCAAGCTAACTCGAAGTTGAGAACTTATTAACGGAAAGTTCCGAGTAATTTCGTAGATAGCGAATGTGGACAAAGAACGGAAAGTAAGAAAAATTGATGTTAAATCGCTTGGACGATAAAATGTTTGCAGTTTTGATAACAAAAGCGCTGTATAATTAAGCGATGTCGTACCTAATTGTAGTAGTAGCGATTAACGTGTTAACCTGTTAAGCGCGATTACGCGACGAGTTAACTCATCGTACATTACGCGTATGCGAGTTGTCAGACGACGAGTCGGTTCTTAAACCCATACGAGTTATCTCTCGAGCGCGATACATTTGTGAATTTCTCACTCGACTTAACTGACCCTCGTAACTTACATACGAGTTTTCACTCGACGAGTTAACTGTTCGCACGCGTTCAACAGACCATCGTTCGTTACACGAGCACGATCTCGAGGTGGATCAGAGTGTCTTTCTCGCTTTTCGTATCGGTATTCGCGCTACTGTTGATCTCACAAACCTAAACAGGAATCACGTGCATGAACAGTGATCGGAAGAAGTATCCCCCGAATCCCTTGCAACTGATCGGAGCTCGAGAAATTTTGTCGATTACAGTGCGGTCCGTAATCGGAAAAGTGCATCGAGTGTACGATCCAAGTGATTCACCTTCGATCGTTAGCGGTCACTTCGATCGACCGGATGATTCTTTCGATCACCGATGTGTACCACGGTTCTCGTTTACCAATATAGTCAGAGGAAATATAGATCGATACGCAGAAGCGAGGAACGATCTCTAGCGGTGGGAGCAACGACGATTTTCTTTTTCTTCTGTTCTTTTCTATTCTACTTGTTCAGTGTAATACAGGATGACGAACTTCGAGATACGGAGGGAAAACAATGTAAACGAGAGATCGGCTTGTAAGAAAAAGGGAGAAAAGGCTCGTTGCTCATCCTAAAGGCTTCGAATTACCGTAGATTTATAGGTAGCTTAAGTTTTTTATACGAGAGAAAAACAATTTAAGTGCCCTGGCGACGATAGGCTTGTATTTGTGATTGTCCAATCGCGTGCAGGTGCAGTTATCGATCATCGCTGATCGCGTCTTCGAATCGCGCGTCTCTTTTTTTAATCGACAAATATGAACATCGTTTTATCGAGTCATTGCTTCTTCGTAGGAACATGTTTCCGGTTTCATTGACGATTCACGGGAAAAGGGTCGCTCGAACAAAGAACGACGAGCGTTATTAGAACCCATCGAGCGTGTAATTAAAGATGTCATTAGAATTTCAAATACGTGATTAGAGTAAGAAAGTCAAGACGCGACTTCGCGTGAATAACGAATGTGAAACGTGTTATCCGGAAACGCGCGATTCGATGACGATAAAAGTGCGTGACTCTTTTTCACGCGTTTTACCACCCATTAAACTGCTGTTTAACGACGAGCACGAGATCATTGGCTAGAAATTTGATGGCAGAATAGGTGATACAATACGACGATGTCGATGACACAGGCTGTGGTTGCAATGATGGTGCAATTAAGCACAGAGTATTTGTTTGTGCAGAAATGAATCGAAAATGTGAAGCTTGATTTTGAAAATAGAGTCGAGTACAGTAGCGTTCGTAAGTACATAGTTTTCTGCAAATTGTAAACGAATCGATTCGTCAACAGACTAATTAGAAGTTTATTAAAAGTGATCTATTCTTGATATATTGACGTATACATTTGTAAGCGATTACTACTTTATATATCGTGATCACGAATAACCAACAATTATTTTATCATTTTAAAATTTCTGCGAGTGCTTTCGAAGATTTTCGACTGATTTTATCTACATATTTTACCTATAAATTATTTACAAGTGTTTTAACGTAGCTGTAATGTTAATAAACAGAGACTTTTAGAATCGAGAAAACTTATGAACGGTAATGTACGTGCGTATTAAAAAGTGATTTGGTATTTTATATTCGAATATGACCATCCATATTGGTTTGCTAGTAATAAAAATATAAGGTAATAAATAGACGCAATGTCTAAACTTCAATCTCGTTTTAATTGCGATATCCCCGTCGTTTCGAGAAAACGATAATTATCGAATAATTACTCTTTCGAATTCTCATAAACCTTCAATTTCATCACCCGTAAAATATTCTATATTTTCCATTCATTTTTGCACATCTGGCGCCTCATGGCACCGCCATTACGATCATCCTGATGAAACGTTGCCTTCGAATTTCTAGCGACTCTGTCTCGTCGTTCTTTCGAAAAGCAGTACACAAAGAAACAACGGGACACGCAATACATACACGAAATTCGTGCATATTAGCATGTTTCGCGTGCGCGAAACACAGAAACAGTCTTAGAAGATAAACGCGATACACTTCGATGGCGAGAGAATATAAACGATGAAGGTCGATTACGTAGAAAAAAGAAGGAAACCGAAAAAAAAGTATATATATGAGCATATATGTATTGTATATATTATATATCTATATATTTTTACTTACTTTGAAAGCAAACCTTTAATTGATTATTTATAATATATTCGTGGCGTATGTTGTATACATATATTAATTATATATCTTGAACATCGTGATGTAAATCTTGAATACATATTAAAACATCGACGATCGCGTTTCTAGAGTTGAGATGAATTTAATAAATGATCGGAGAGTGGCACGAGCTGCTCGTGCAAAAATAAAGTATAGTTTGAGGTGCATCAAGTCCTACGATGAAAGGTACAATTAATTCTTTGCGTCAATACTTGACATTCAATTTTGTGGAACCTGTGACTTTTGTAACTTTAACGCGTTCAGAGCCGAAATCATGATATAATCATCCCTTGCTCCATTTCATGTTTACTGTATGATATACACACTTGTGCAGAGATAGAAATTAAAATTTCGCTTTGCAACAGCCGACTACAGTTATACGTAGCGCGTAATGGTCGTATCGTAGCGAGTAAAAAGATTAAAGTAATAAAAACGTAGAGATCTTGCCAATTCTAAAGATACTATTTGAAAATATTTGCAAATAAATAAAGGAAAGGAACGTTTCCGAGAAAGAACATTCGAAACTGGTTTCTAGGACTTGATTCGCTTTCACGTTGACCATTCGCTCGAATAGGCCAATATTTGACGATTCTACCTTAGAATCATTTTTTTCCTTTTCAAAAAAGGGGACACTAGTCCTTGTTGAGATTTGATGGCATAATAAAAGAGAATGCAACGTTCTTGTTCGATATAAAACGTGTCACATCACGATGTATATATTCGAGCTCCGATAGCGAAGCTGTTTTGTACAAAACAAAAAGAAGGGGAATAAGAAGGAACGGAAAAAGAAGGTGAAAGAGAACTATTGTGAAATTTAACGTGGATTTATCCGCAGGACCGGTCCAATACCTTCTTACGCGAGATGACGTTTTTTAACGATCGATTTGCTGAACAAGTTTTCGCGATCGTTCTTTTCTTTCGAATTCGTGCAAACGTGCCGACCGCCGTGTCTTGTCGGTGCTCGGTCTTTTCGGAAATCGTAGACGAGAGAACGTCGATCGATACGACGGGACACGGATATTTTTCGCGATTCGATGGGTGCTCGATGGATCCAAGTATCGACGGACAGCAAACGAGGGAATAAAGAAAAACGATTCTAATTGTGGTGAAAAGGGTTAGGAAGAGGACGAGATAACGCATAATAGTTGCCTTAGCTTTTGTACAAGTTAAACAGAGGTGCAGAATCGGGAGATTACAAAGAGAATGAAATTTGAGAGAAAGCGAGTGTGCGCGTATGTGTGCGTGTAGAGCGGGGATTGGCAAACCGCGAGTTAAACGTGACCGGTTATGTTAAAATGTAACTGAATGTTAACGCTATGATTATAATTACGGTAGATTTTCGTTGTATCGGAACCGTAGGAAGAGTTCCTTTCGTGTACGTGGTGACGATATAACGAAAATCTTCGGAGTGACAAGGTTCCAATGTAAATCTTTCACCTGCTGTCTTAGAAACTTAATATAATATGCTACTTAGAATTTTCTTTTCATCGGAGCTAAAATAGACAATAGATCTATGAGGACTATAAAATTTAATATCTAAAAAAATGTTTGTACATAACCTAACAATATATTTGACACTGTAACAAAATTAGCCAATCCCTGGCACAGGGTGAACGAAGTAAAAAAGAAAAGAAGGACGAAATTCGTACGGTACGATAGGGTTGTTCTGACTAGGCGATTCACGCCGTTATCTGCGACGACAAAAGATAAAAGAAGATTGAACAAAAAACAGAAGAATGATAAGGAACGATTAAGCTAATAAGATATTCCGGTATGCTCGCCATGAAAAAGAAACGAAGGAGCCTTGCAGCAAGAAAACATATTCTGCGAATCATTGATAATCAAATCGTATCGATAACGCTATCGTAACCGCAATTGCAATCGTATAATAATAATTAATTAATTAATTGTAACGATAAATAGCGATTCTCGTTATTTTGACGAGATTTTTTTCGAGGAACTTGAAACACAACAACGATCGTGTTTAAAAAAAGAGTCCGAATATTATCGATCAGAGGAGGAGGAGGAGAGAGAGAGAGAATGATAGAAAGAGTCTTTTTGGAGAGTGGACGCTTTTTGTGGACACGTTTTTTATAGATATTGGCAGCAATATTAAACGGCGGTTTAGCTACGGGCGAGAAACTCAGGTTCCAGTTACTAAATGAAACATTTAAGCAAAACGCGAGCTGTTTTTTGTAAGAAAGAGAGAGAATGAGAGCGTGAGTGAATAACGACGATGAAATACGTCCTTTTGAATTCCGAAACCGATGAAACATGGATCGATTCCTCTTTTTGTCAATGCTAACTAACGATTATAATTAGTAGAGAAGAGAACAGCCGAATAGAAAATAGAAACTAATAGAATGGGAAGAACGGTGGCGCCGTAGACCAATATATTGTTACCCTAGGCATAACGAATTAATAATTAATTGTAACGAAGTATCTCTTGACGATTCTCCGCCGACGAAGATGGCCGAGATCGTGACAGGAGCGTGTGTGCATGCGTGAGTGTCTGATACACGTTAGTACGATCAAAAAGTAACAAATCGAATGATCATGACGATTGTGAATCTTGTGTTTGCGTCCAAATTTCTTCGTAGAAAATGAAATTTAGAATTGGGCATTACTTCTCGATGAATTTTAAAATTTCGAACCGAAACGCGAGGATATCCTTGCTTTTTCTTATTGCACACACACACACACACACATACACATACACACGTTTGTCAACGGAAATAATGCCCAGTTCTGATTTTTAAGTAATTAAGTAAAGAGACGGGTTACAATAGGATATATCCTTTTTGAAAGAGAATGTTTCAAAAATCTTTCGCAACGTGGACGCGTGAATACGGTTTTGAAACGTTTTCGCTTTTATCGATCGTTGAATATGAATCATATTCACAAAACATATTTTCATCAGTTCCATAATCTTCCAATTCACTGTAATTATTTATCGGTTCAGTCTATTGCTAGCTCAAATTTTATTAACAAATTTTATTCACAATCCTTGACTGAATTCCTAATCGTAATAATTATTAGTAACAGTAACGATATAATATTAATAAATACTAGTCCATTCTATGCGAGACAATTGCTGGCTTCGAATTACATTGCGATTTCAATAATGATTCGTATCGAATCTTTCAACTAATGCAATTTTCAAAATAATTAATGTCCTAAGCGATTCGAAATAACTAGTATTCGTCACCCATCACTCGCGTAAACGTTTTAAAATCGTGTTCGATCGTCGACAGATTCGTGTACGTCCATTTGGATCCTTGCCAATATTTCCTGTCGTTTTTCTTTTCGAAAACATGCCATGGATGCAAATGTATATCAGTGAGAATATCGTTCGCGTGCGAATGTGATACATGTATTGATGCATGATTCAAGGAGGCGATAATAGCCGATCATTAATGAACGTTCGGTGGAAGAATTGATAGAGGAGTTTCTGGGGAGGGGAGGAAGTCAATGCTAACTAACGATTATAATTAGTAGAGAAGAGAACAGCCGAATAGAAAATAGAAACTAATAGAATGGGAAGAACGGTGGCGCCGTAGACCAATATATTGTTACCCTAGGCATAACGAATTAATAATTAATTGTAACGAAGTATCTCTTGACGATTCTCCGCCGACGAAGATGGCCGAGATCGTGACAGGAGCGTGTGTGCATGCGTGAGTGTCTGATACACGTTAGTACGATCAAAAAGTAACAAATCGAATGATCATGACGATTGTGAATCTTGTGTTTGCGTCCAAATTTCTTCGTAGAAAATGAAATTTAGAATTGGGCATTACTTCTCGATGAATTTTAAAATTTCGAACCGAAACGCGAGGATATCCTTGCTTTTTCTTATTGCACACACACACACACACACATACACATACACACGTTTGTCAACGGAAATAATGCCCAGTTCTGATTTTTAAGTAATTAAGTAAAGAGACGGGTTACAATAGGATATATCCTTTTTGAAAGAGAATGTTTCAAAAATCTTTCGCAACGTGGACGCGTGAATACGGTTTTGAAACGTTTTCGCTTTTATCGATCGTTGAATATGAATCATATTCACAAAACATATTTTCATCAGTTCCATAATCTTCCAATTCACTGTAATTATTTATCGGTTCAGTCTATTGCTAGCTCAAATTTTATTAACAAATTTTATTCACAATCCTTGACTGAATTCCTAATCGTAATAATTATTAGTAACAGTAACGATATAATATTAATAAATACTAGTCCATTCTATGCGAGACAATTGCTGGCTTCGAATTACATTGCGATTTCAATAATGATTCGTATCGAATCTTTCAACTAATGCAATTTTCAAAATAATTAATGTCCTAAGCGATTCGAAATAACTAGTATTCGTCACCCATCACTCGCGTAAACGTTTTAAAATCGTGTTCGATCGTCGACAGATTCGTGTACGTCCATTTGGATCCTTGCCAATATTTCCTGTCGTTTTTCTTTTCGAAAACATGCC